CTCAGCCCTTCACCCCCAGCCTGGGCTTTGCCCCAAGCTGGGGCAGATCCAGAGCCCCTGTGTCTGAAACCAGCCCGGGCAGCACACAGCACAGATTTGTTCTTCCCTGGACGTGCTGCTCTCACCTCTTCGACACCTGAAAGTGCTCGAAAACGTCACCCTTCAGTTTGTGTTTTGGGAATGAGTAACCAAAGGAGCCATTTTGCCCCCACAGCCTTTTCCAAATCTAGTCTTTTTGCTGTTTTTTTTCCCCCTAAAAGCCTCAGGAAAGCACACGGGGATGAAGCCTGTGAGTAGGATCATTGTTCCCACGTCCACCCCGCGGTGGGATCTCACAGGAAGCATTTAAAGTTACGCTTGAAGTTGTATTTGTTGGCAAACTGGGATGAAAACCAACCCCTGGATGAAGTTGGGGAGGGTGCTGCAGACTGGGTGAAGGCTCCAGCCGTGGCAATGAGCAGCAGGGAGCCCCCCCCTTTGCTCTCTGCAGGGCTGTGGGCACCCCCTCACCCCACACTCACGTTCTCTGCGGGCGCAGGCGTTGGTCGCTGTAGGGTATCAGAGCCACCAGCTCGTTCACCTGCTCTGCAAAGACAAAGGGACCCGTGAAACCACACGACACCCCAAAAAAAAAGGGCATTTTCTGGTCAGGCTGGAGGCCCCGGAGCAGCTGGGTACCCGTGGGGACGCAGCCGGTGCCCTGGCAGGTGGGGCAGGTGATGCTGTCCTGCCCCGTGAACTCCACGTAGGGGAACCTGGCGATGTCCTCCACACGGTCCTGGCTCTCCAGGAAGTCACCCTCCTCATCCTCAGCGCCGCCCGGGGCCTGGGGGGGAGCGGGGGTGCCCCCGAGGGACAGTGCTGAACCCATCGTGCCTAGGGGAGAACCAGAGGGGGACCCCCACCCTGAGCGTCAGGCATGGGGAACCACCTTCCCCCCAGCCCCAGCACCCCTTAGAGAATGGCTCCTCCACAGAGGGGCCCCCCAAGAGGGGTTCAGGCCCATTCCCCCCACCCCAGGGA